CTATGAACCTTTTGTGGCTTAAAATTGTGCTTTTACGTGGTTTGTTCATGATTTGAGAAGATCATCGTCTTGACGTGCTTGATCTTGAGATCGGTTTGTATTAGTGTATATTCAGTGTCAAATGAAATAGCTGCTTGATTGTTCGAATTTACACGACTAGCTCAAAATTAGCTGTGCCACGATTCAAGTGTGGAAAGAGTATCTATGTTATGTCACAGAATACCACTGCCCACTAGATGCAGTCTCTTGTGATCAGTCCAAACAGAATATGTTACTTCATTCATAGATGTTAGTTTGTGTCTGAAATTTGCCTTTATAGATATGATTGAGCATCTGAATTCTGTGCCTCATTACAAGCGTGCAACTTCAAGCCTCAAGCCCCGTAGACCCGCCTCAAAACCACCCTTTTCAATACTTTTGTGCCTCATTGCAAACATAAATCTCAAGTCTCAATCCCAGTCTGCAGTTTATGAACCCAAAAAACAAGCATATCTTTCAATATTGTGACGAGGGATGTAACAAAGAAAGCGAATTTCAGACAGTCCATGATCATTGGCAATTTGCTTTTCTAAAGGGTTTGACTTTTAATTTTAGACTTTTCTGCATCTTTTAAGAATCCTTCTAGTATGATTGGAACTTAAGAAAGATCTTTTGTAAATGAAGATTCACGAGGCAATTCTGTATCTTAGTAGTTTGAAGAAATAGCTTTGATATGAATAGTATCTTTACGAACTGAAAATACTCCTCATTTCTGGTTCACTCTGCAAAAATCTGTACTTGATATTTTGCTACTTGATCTATTTTTGTGTTCAGGTTGCCATATTAGCTGAGCTCTCATTGTCCAACCGAGCATCCGACCAGCTGCTAATGATGTACTACCCGTTTTTGGGGTGTGCCCTTGTAGCTTTGTTGCGTGGACTGCTGGCTAATTCGGGCAAGAATGCAGCAGTCGGGAAAAGATCTGTCCCACACAGGAAAAAGAGGGCTTAAAAGTTTTTGAGGATTTTACGTTAGCGGCTGAGACTTGAGAGTGCTGCCAGTTGCTTAAAAAGATCTGCCCCACACAGTTAGTTATATTTCAGTTGCTTTGGTACCATTGGACAACTTAAGGGGCATTTTCATATTTTCACTATTCTTCTTCCTCTCAGTATAATGATGTATTCCTACATTTGTTTCCGTGGGGACATTGCATTTTATCAATCAAAATACTAATGGAATATATTCTAGTAGTCCATTTTTGAGCTTGCTGTTAAACGGCTTGCCAATCTCTCGCGCTCATGTCTTATCTCTGATATTAACAGTAAGTATTGATACATCCATTAATCGTACAATCAATATGAACATATAATCGATCGTATGCTGACCTCATGACTAATCGAGCTATAAATATTAAGAACATGTCGAACTCTGTGTTTTACAAGTTATGATATTAAAACTTTAACAAATTTAACGGTTAGTTGTAAATTGTTCATGCTAGAATAGCTTTCGATAATCTGTCGATCTCATACAATTTTCTTCTTATGCATTCGAACACTAATCTGTAATGAAAGTTTTCCACTTTGAAAGCGTGACTAACATGATAGTATTGTCATATCGTCTTATTTTTTTAAATGAAAACGCGAACATTTATTATGAAGTGATTTTCGTTATTAATCCTAGGTTGCACCATGAACATAAAGTTCAATGGATAAGTTTCATTATTGCTGCAAGCCTAATATGCTTTCCTTGGAGCTTTCCAGATGACAATGGTAGCACATTTCTATTTAATGTAATTGCACCATCTCTATATCATTTTTCTATAAATTCTATGCTCTGCTTTATCTTCTCCATGTGCTTATTGTTTACTCATATTATTGCTTGTCTATCTGTATAAAAACCACTTCTCTCAACTGGAGTTTTAGTAAGTTTTATTGTGTTATAAACTTTTCTATTTTATTTACAAAGCATTCGAAAAAAATAGTTAGTCTAGGCATTCAAAAAAAGCTAACTAATGAAATACAACTCACAACAGGGAAAAAGAAAGAAATTTCAAATATGAGCTCAAACATATCTGAAAATGGTGAGGTAGAACTTAATTCTTTGGAGAATAAGCTCAAAAGAAAGCGGTGCCACCGTCATACGCCGCAACAAATCCAAGCCATGGAAGAGTAACCTTCTTTTTTCGACTCATTGCAATTTTCATAAAAGTTTTGTACATACAAAAGTGAATACCAAGTGTGATATGTATATTACTTTTTTGTTTAAACAGCTTGAATTTGCTTTTATTTACTAATAATACTAAATCCTGATATCAAATTGGGTTTTGACTATAGTTCCTTCATGGACTGCCCTCACCCAGACTACAAGCAAAGAACCGAGCTAAGCCGGGCATTGGGAATGGCTCCCTCACAAGTTAAGTTCTGGTTTCAGAATAAACGCACTCAAATGAAGGTGAAAATTAAAGCGATATTTTTTTATCGTGTAGCTTTTTATCTTTTTCTTTTTTTTTTTTTTTTCTTTTCAA